GGATACTGGCAAACAGAGAGAATTTCTGGTCAGGAAATGCTCACACGTCCACTGTTTCTATCACTCATGTCCACTCACATACAAAGTGTCTCTTGTTCTCCATAGATTACCTCTTAAAAGAGCCACAAGGAACACTCAGCTGAGCACAGACCCCATAGTGAATGGTCTGTGTTGAGTCCTGATCAGGGAATGGGAACACCTGTGATCCCAAGGCTGGGCTCCTGTTTCAGAGCTGCAGGGCTGAGGCTGTTTTTTATGAGCAGAGGGGGCCCTATTTGCAGGCCCTTCTGCAATATAGGGAGCTCTGGTTGGAAGACCTACAGGGAGGGCAGTGCCTCCATGCTGGTGAGAGTGTCCTGTGGAAGGATTGTGGTCATGATAACATTTCAATAACTAAATACAAAATTCTAAGTAGGTTTGAAGCTTGTTCAAGTGTCCACATGTGGAACTAGTGAGCCCTGCATGTGGCCTGTGTCCTTCTCTCTGGACCCACCTGCTACAGGAGACCTGTACAGAGACCCAGGAGAGAAATTTATCTTATAAAGAAAAAGAGGTTTAAAATGCGAGATGCATTTGACAGTCACCAGTAATGACAACCAAGGGAAATCAACCCTCACCACCTGAGAAAAAAGTAAAAGAGAAGGAAGTTCATGTATAGGAGACAAGAAGTTCCCACTGACACTCTTTGTGCAACAGGGTATTCAGAGGACAAACTAAGACCCAAATGTGACTCTAGAGCCAGTGGACCAAGTTTTGGGGAAAGTGAAGCATCTGTTTGGATTCCTGTGAACCAGAAGCATGAACTAGAGAGACACAGACAGAGCTCCTGGGTCTTATTCCTTCAGGGCAGTTTGGTGCTGGACGTGTAGCAGCCGCACTGCCTCTTTTGTGGTGTTCATTCTCTAGACTCTGTTTTAGATCTGGTTTCACTCATTGGGACCTAGAAGAACCTCTGTCATGACCAGGTGTGTTGAGGAGAAGTTGTCAGAAATAGTTTAGGAATAATTAAGTCTAGGTGATGAAAATCTTGTTATTAGAGAGCTCATGTATGAATGTGACCCTTGCGACCACTGTCCCCACAGGATGGGGGTCAACTGGAACCCGCACCTGACCCAGTGCACCATTGGGGGAGAGCTCCCTGGGAACATGAGGGGGGATCAACCAAGACCAATGACACACACGTCCCGGGTCCTTGTCTCATTGGGTTGTCCTCTCTGTGTTGTGTAGCCAGTTCACGTTTCTTTTCCTCACTTTCCTCTGAAGCAGCCACATGTTTCCGGGAGCCATGAAAATACTCTGTTGAGAGGGAGCAGGGGCACCAGCTATGTGTGGGTTGGTTTCATATCTTACATCTTTCCTGGATTCTACTTCTATTAGCTTCTCATATAGTTTTTAGGGTTTTCTATGTACAAGATCCTGTCATCTGCTTACAGATAAGGAGAAACATTTTAACTCCTTTCTCTCTCTTTTAAACGTTTGAAATGTCCTTGTTTTTGCCTACTTATTCTGACAAGAACTTCTGGTTTTGAGGAATAGAAATAGTCTCAAGGGAGCCCTTGTCTTGGTCCTGGTGTAAGAAGAAAAGCTTTGACCTTTTCTCTTTGTGGCGTGATGACACTTGTTAACTCTTTCAAATGTGGCTTTTAGTATGTTGAGGTCCATCACTTCTACACCTAACCTGCTAAGAATTTTAATTCTGAAATGATTCTCAATTTTAAAGGCTTTCTTCTGTATCTATTTATGCTGTAAGCCAGTTCCAGCATGTCATATTACAAGCGTTTCTTCAAAAGGTTGATGAAGCTTGGGGGCTCAACAAGAGCTGAGCCACATATGTAATCGTCAGTTGCAATGGCTATAAAGCATTTCGTCCAAACCAGAATAGGATATTTGTTTGCTGCCAGACAGCGCAAAGCATCTTAATATACACATTATTGCCTCCTATTGGCCAAACATGTGAAGAGCTGTAGGCTATTCCCCAATCTTACAATTCTTCTGTAAACCCTACCCTATGAAACCATAGCCTTTGAAGTGTATGTCGCCAACTTGCTTTAGGACAATTATGTTAATAAAAAGCTCGAGGTCCAGGGGGAAGGAAGAAATAACACATTTATACAGCTGTGTACTTTATCCTTCTTGCTGGCTGGCTTGGCCCTGAGCTGTGTGGGGCTGCGCTGCCCTGTGGAGTCATAAGAGCCCCTCGTTGGATCTCAGTGACCTGGGTCAGAAGATTTGATCATTGCCTGGTACTTGGCACAGGAGTGTCTGAAAAGACTGCTGTTTGTCCATGTGAGGAAGTTTTTTTCTGTTTTCAACAGATGTTCTCACTTAGAGACATCAGAGGTGCAGAATCAGGACCCAGAGGTTCTGTGAGGTTCTGTGACAGGAGGAGGAAACCACACAGGAACCAGACCAAACCTCCAAAGGCACCTGCTGCTGGGAAGGTCCTTGTGTTCAAGGAACCTGATTGCCTACTGGTGCTCACAGCCTTGCCTGCAGGGAGGTTTGTGTCTGGGCTCACACTGACTTCCCCTCACTGTGTATCTTGAACAGTAATACAGGGCCCTGTCCTCGGTTCTCAGGCTGCTCATTTGCAGGTACAGCGTGTTCTTGGCGTTGTTTCTGGAGATGGTGAAGTGGCCCTTCACAGAGTCTGAATAGTATATGTCACTACTACCATCACGACTAATGTATAAAACCCACTCTAGCCCTTTCCTTGGAGCCTGCTGGGCCCAGTGCATGCCATAGCTACTGAAGGTGAATCCAGAGGCTGCACAGGAGAGTCTCAGAGACTCCACAGCCTGCACCAGGCCTCCCCCATACTCCACCAGCTGCTCCTCACACTGCACACCTGCAAACACAGAGACACAGGGGGACTTAGAATCACATGGAAGCACAAACAGCCACAGGCATGGGAATCAGCGCTCCCCACTTCTGGCAATGACCTTAAGAAATGATCAGGAGGAAAACGCAGCTTGGCACCAAGTTCATGGTGGAGCCACTGGGTTCTGTCTCAGGTGCTTATGTTCTGGATGTCCCCCAACATGCCAGGCCAGGGTCCCCTTTTATGAGCAGGAGGAGATCCCCATTTGCATGGAGTCTGCATATTAGGTGCAGCTGTGAACTGGGCTGCATGCCTGACCTTGTCATCCTAGGGGTGACCCCAGATGGGAAAGGGCTAAAGGATGCTGGCACTAGGGGGTCCTGTTTTGACCACCCTCCCTCCCTCTCTCCTATCCAGAGACCCATCACCATGACCCCATTCCTTTGGGGGCAGCTTCCAAGTTTGAGAGTCCTCCTTCCTTGGGGTTTTGATGAGGATCCGGGGGTGCTCCCCTAGAGGCACATGGATGGGACTTCCTCTCTTTCCTTCACCCACCTTGGGCCATGTTGCTTTCTGGGGTTTGGGAATAAGAATATGCCTTGAATGAAGCTTTTATTTTGAGACTGAAAGATTCTCCCTGTTATTTTCCTCAATCAGATCCTCCACAGAACTCTAACATATGCATTTGAGGTGGCAGGAGAGGCTGGGCTGGACACTCTGACATGGTTCTAACTATGGAGCAGGAGGGCATGTGAGGTTCTTCTACTTCATCAGCAACTTTTCAGAGGCACCATGTCCTCTCTCTCCTGTGCCTCCTCGGGTCTTGTGTGGTCCTGGGCAGTGTTGTCACCGTGTCTCTACATGAAGGGCGACCCCATTCCCTGAAGGCCATTCACTGAATGGACCATGGGCAACATGGGAAAAGCCAGCCTGAACCTGGTGGGAAATTACCAAGGATGGGAATTCACCACGTCTGAACAGGCACACTTCCAGGACAGTTCCTTCATTGTGCTGTCATTTTCTCATTGTCCAACCAGTTCCATCTGCCTCTCTCTGCCCTGAAATTGCCACACACCACTTCTGGAGTCCTTCAGGAGAGAAAGCATTGGCTTGAAGACTAACCCAAGTTCCAGGTTCCATGTGAGGTCCAAGCTACTCTCCCTGCATCCAGACAGACGGGAGTCATGGCTCAATTCCAAACAGATTACCATGTGCAAACACACATGCGTGCACACTCACACTCACACATAATTCCCAGCTCCCAGGTTCCTGATGGGCTGAGGAGTCTCTGACTCTCAGGGGACTGTGATGGCTGGACCCTGACCTCAGGAACATCCAGGTTCTCATGGCCTGTGGTTACCTTATAAGACAGGACTTTGCAGATGGTTAAGGTAGGGACAATGGAGCTAAGGGTGCTGACATGGGAGTTACCCTGAGCAATCTTCTGCGACAAACTTGTAACCACAGGGTACCCTTCATCGGGAAACAATGCAAATCAGACCCTAGATTTTGTGATGATTGAGCCAGACGTTAGGTGGGTTTGCACATCCATCAGGGGAATGAGGACCAGGAGGTAAGCATGTGGTAGAGAGGATGGACAAAGCGCTGTGGTGGGAGGTCCTGGGGGATGACCCTGGTCATGGTGGCACAGATGTGCCTGTTAGAGGGAAAGGTGGGGACAGGTGGGCGTGTGAGAGGGAAAGGTGGGAACAGGTCAGCGTGTGAGAGGAAAAGGTGGGGACACGAGGGCCTATGAGAGGGAAAGGTGGGGACAGGGGTCTGAGGTCAGCACACAGGGGCCTGGGCTGCACTGGGGTCTCTCTTGGTGGGAAAGTTTCCCAAAACCAGGAAGAGGAGAGCACTGAGGATGGTCTCTTTGTAGAGAAAGAGACACAGAAAATAAAAGACTTGGTGAAGGAGAGTCCCTGTCACTGCGGCATGTCACCTGCAAACACAATGCCCTTTTTCACTGTTGTCTGCAGTGAGAAAATGAGAAGGAAGAGCCCTCCCTGGAGGCAGCTGAGAGCTTGAGAGGAAACCCCTGAGCCCAACAGAAAGGCTCTTCCCTCACCATCCCTCTGCCCCTGCTCCTGGGGCTGCTCTCTATGCTGTGGGCCCTGAGCGCCTGCGGTTTCACTGAAGCTTCCAGCAGACCAGCCATGCTGCCTCCTCAGGGAATTTAGTGTCTGAGCTCACACTGACTTCCCCTCACTGTGTGTCTTGCACAGTAATACACAGCCGTGTCCTCGGCTTTCAGGCTGCTCATTTGCAGGAACAGCATGTTCTTGGCATTGTCTCTGGAGATGGTGAAGCGGCCCTTCACAGAGTCAGAATAGTATGTGGTACTTCCACTAGGATTACTAATGTATGCGACCCATTCCAGACCTTTCCCTGAAGCCTGACGGACCCAGTTCATGGGATAGTCGCTGAAGGTGAATCCAGAGGCTGCACAGGAGAGTTTCAGAGACCCCCCAGGCTGCACCACGCCTCCCCCAGACTCCACCAGCTGCACATCACACTGGACACCTAAAAACACAGAGACACAGAGCGACTTAGAATCACATGGAAGCACAAACAGGCCCAGGCACAGGGATCAGCGCTCCCCACTCCTGACAATGACCGTGAGAAATGATCAGGAGGAAAACGCAGCTTGGCATCAAGTCCATGGTGGAGCCGCTGGGTCTTGTCTCAGGTGCTTGTGTTCTGGGTGTCTAACCAACATACTGGACAAGGGCCCACTTTTATGAGCAGGAGGAGAGCCCCATTTGCATGGAGTCTGCATATAAGGTGCAGCTGTGTTCTGCGCTGCATGCCTGACCTTGTCATCCTAGGGGCGACCCCTGATGGGAAAGATCACAAAGATTCTGGACCACAGGGGGTCCTGTTCTGATCTGCCCTCCCTCCTTTCCTGAGACCCTTCACCCTGACCCCATTCCTTTAGGGGCAGATTCTAGGATGGAGAGTCCTCCCTCCTCGGAGTTTTGATGCGGACCCAGGGGTGCTCCCGCAGAAGCATGTGGATTGGACTTCCTCTCCCTCCCCTTCAGCCGCTGTGAGCCATGTTGCCTTTCTGGGGTTTGGGAATAATAATTTGCATTGAATGATTCTTTTATTTTTTAAAATAAATTTTTATTGTTCTTATTATTACAAATGTTCTTTCCTCCCCCCCCCCCCCATACTCCTTTCATTCAGGTTCCCACCCCTTCTTCTGTCCTTTCCCCACTCCCATTGTCCTCATCCATAGGTGCAGTTTGTGTTCAGTCTCTTGATGCTTTCATTTTGAAGCTGAAAGGTTCTCCTTGTTATTTTCCTCAATCAGATTGTCCACAAAACTCTAGCATATGCATGTGAGGAGGCAGGAGAGGCTGGACGCTGTGGCTGCAGCCTCTGTCTCTAACCTGCTGCCATTCTCACAAGCACACAGCTGCCTCCCAAAAGCACACATTTCCCTCAATTTCCCTGCTGTTCCTGTGCAAAAGCCCTGTTTCCAGCCTCTCCCAGTGGAGATTTTCCATCATTTACACATGGAGCCTGGCTGGTGGGCTCAATGGTTGGAGGTCATCCCCACACCAAAGGGTGTGAACTCTTCAGAGTCACCACTACCATCCTGTGGAGGAAGCAGGTTTTATAATTGTGTGCACCTCCCTCCCCACATGGGAAGTAACGTGTGTGAACGTGTGTGGTAAATGAAGAGAAGACAATCCGCTGATGTAAGAAATGTCCAAACATGGAGAGCATGTTGATAAGATTTTATTGAAGCCAATCTGTCGAAAACTGTTGGGGATCAAGACCTCCAATACTCTGGAGAATAACCATTTGCAGCTGTGATTGTGCATTTGAAGTTAAGGAGGGAAGGTGAGGAGTGACATGGAGCTTGAGAGAGCAAGGTGAGACGGATGCCTGGATAGTGAACAGGACGTTCTCTCTCTCTCTCTCTCTCTCTCTCTCTCTCTCTCTCTCTCTCTCTCTCTCTCTCTCTTCTCTCTGAATCTTTATTGTTGAAGTATTACATAGATCCCACTTTCCTCCCCATTATTCTCTTCCCTCTCGATCCCATTCCCTCCCCAGGCCCTCACCACCCAATTGTCTGGATCCATGGGTGAGGCATATATGCATACAAGTACCTTGGTTGACCTCTTCCAATCGATCCTACCCCACTTTCCTTTGAGGTTCCATGGTCTGTTCATGCTTCTATGGCTCTGGGTCTATTTTAGTTCATCAGTTTATTTTGTCCATTAGCAATGCAGACTGGGATTGCCTTTTAGGTAAAAATAAGATTTCCATCTAGAAATTGAAAATGGAATTCCTATTTGACCAGTGGTCCCACTTTTAGGAATATATCCTAAGAAACCCAAAACACTCATCAGAAAGAATGAATGCACCCCTATGCTCATAGCAGTGCAATTTTCAACAGTTAAGCTTTGGAAACAGCCTAAGTGCCCATTAGCAGATGATTGGATAACCGTGGTACCTCTACACCATGGAACACTATGCAATTCTGAAAAACAAAGATATGTTAACGTAAAAATCATTTACAGCTGTACAGAATTTTTGTGAGTTTATTTGAGCCAAATGTGGACATATACTTGTTAGTAGAACCTCAATGAATTGAGATAATGCTCCGGAGAATGGTGGGGTAAATCTGTGTTTATACGTTGCAATCAAAGGAAGGGATGTAGATGGGCTACATGAAATTAATTGGTGATAGATTAAGGAGGTGGGAGAAAGCAAAGCGGGGAGACCTCTGGGATAGGGTACAAAGTGAAATGATGGACAGGTGCATCTTTTAAAAGATGGATAAGGGAACTTTTAAGATAATTAACAGCTGATGATTAACTTGATAACAATCACAATGAGGGAGTGTCCTGGTGCCATTTGTTGTGCCCTGAAGGGTTTGAGATAAAAAGGAAGTTATAAGTTACCCAGTCATTTGTTAATGAAAAAACCATTGAAACCTGTAAAGAATTTTTGTGAGTTTATTTGAGCCAAACTGTTGACATATGCCAAGAAGCAGAACCTCAAAGGATTGGGATAATGCTCAGAAGAATGGCGGTTTACATTTCTATATTTATACATTGCAATCCAAAAAAAGGGACTTAGGTGAGTTACATGAAATTCATTGGTGATAGATTAGGGAGGTGGGACAGACGAAGGGGGGAAACTTCTGGGATAGGGTAAAAGGTGAAATGATGGACATGAGCTTCTTTTACAGAGATGGATACAGGATACTTTAAAGTAATTAACAGTTGACAATTAACTTGATAACAATAACAATGAAGTAATGTCTAGAGGCTATTTGTTGTGCCCTGAGGGTCCAGGGTAAAAAGGAAGTGTTATAGTTATATTAGTGTGATGTTTTAAGGATTTAAAACAGTGTAAGAATAATGATTTGTGTGATTTAAAATAGGAATGAAAGCATTTACTTTTATGAGTGATTTATAGTTTAAGTGTGAATTGTATTTCTGATCTTATTCTGATTTTATTTTAAGTAAAAGAAATTATTTGAAATGTGTTTTAGGCTTAGTATAAGTAACTCCATATAATGTGACTTGAAATTTTGTAAAACTTGAGTTTTAAAATTGACTTTGAGCCCCTAATTGTGTGAACGCCCTAACAAGTGTTTATCTGGAAAGTTGGAAACCGAGGCAAAAGGTACCTGGAGAGCGCCCGATTAGACACACTGAAGATCTATTGGTTGCACCCAGAAGGAACAAAGAAACACCCAGAAATGGCCATAAAAGAAGGGACCTAGAGGCACTGGGCAGAGGCCACGAAGGGGCCCTCCACCCTACGTGCTCTCTACTCCCTTTTTCCTGTTCGAAATACTGCATGAGGCTCTGCCTGAGTGAAGCTGTCACTCTGCCTGTGAGCCAAACTTCTGAGGCCTCGTTCCTGACCGAGAGGCTGCAGCAACGTGTTCCTGTCCAGTGTGTGTGTCTGTGGGCGCGGATCTCCAGGTGACCTGCCTAGGCTTCTGGAAACCACCAGGACTCTGGTAAATAAACCTTGGGATTCATGCATTTTAACTCTTGATTCTGTGTTTAGTTTATGCTCGGTCAATTTTAGTTAAGTATTGTGGGTAACCTGTATAAGTCCAGTTCTCTGGCTGAGGGACCCCAATCACCTGTGCATAAGTTCCCACCTGAGGGTGAGTTGGAACAGGAAGTTACAAGTTATTCAGACATCTCACAGATATGTTATCTTAGAGGCAGATTGGCTCAGTAAAGAAGATCTAAATTGATCTTTGTCAGGTGAAATATCTGGGACATGACTACCCACAAAAACCTGTTTATAGTTAGATATTTAATTTTCAAACCGTCTTTTGTGGTTATTTTAGGTCTCTGAGTTTGCAAGACTGCCACGCAGGCCTTCCCTGAGCTTGTCAGGTTAGCATGTGGCTCTTTTCTTTCTCAAATTTTACCAAAATGTTATCTTAGAGCCAAAAAGGCAAATGGGCTCAGTAAAGATCTAAGTTGAATTTGTCAGGGAAAATACTGGCGAGGACACGACTTCCCACCATAACCTGTGTGTAGTTAAATGTTTAATTTTCAGACCATATTTTGTGGCTATGTGAGGTCTCAGAGTTTGTACAAATGCCATGCAGGCCTCCCCTGAGCTTGTCAGGTTAGCATGTGGCCCCCTTTGTCCTTAGAACAGAGCCCCCTTTTTGTTCACAAACACATTCCCTAAAACTAGACCTAGGACAGGGCTTCCTGTGAGCTCCTGGCTGAGCCTCTGAGCAAAACTATTATAATTTAAGACTGAGCAGGAAGTGGTGTCTTTAACTTTCCACCTGATCTTGGTTAGGGCACTGTGCTAGTCCTGAGCACCCCCTGGTGTCCTGAGCTCCCACTACAGCCCAGCCCTGCTGCCTCCTCAGGGAGGTTTGTGTCTGGGCTCACACTGACTTCCCCTCACTGTGTCTCTTGCAGAGTAATACATGGCCGTGTCCTCGGTTTTCAGGCTGTGGAGCTCCATGTAGGCTGTGCTTGTGGACTGGTCTGCGGTGATGGAGACTCTGCCTTGGAACTATTGTGTGTAGCTTGTTTCTCCATCTCCAGGGTAAGCTTCCCCCACCCACTCAAACCCCTGTCCTGGGGCCTGTCGCACCCAGTGCATGAAGTAGCTGGTGAAGGTGTATCCAGAAGCCTAGCAGGAGACCTTCATGGAGGCCCCAGGCTGCCTTACCTCAGCCCCAGGCTGCACCAGCTGCACCTGAGAGTGGACTCCTGTGGGAGGAGACAGGACTGAGTGGAATCCCCCTGGACTCTCCCTGGACCCTCCTTAACCCTGTCAGGAGCCTCTTACCTGTCGCCATGGCCACCAGGAGGAGGGTTCTCCAGCTGCAGTCCATGGTGAGAGCTGTGCTGGGAGCACTTCTGTAGGGAAGGGTGTGGCTGTGGGTGATGCCCTCAGGGCATAGACTTACCCATATTTAACCTGGTCTGCCTCCTCTCTTTTGCATATTCATGAGGCAGAATATTTCATAGCTGTGGTCTTGAACACACCTCAGAGAAGATGGTGACACTGGAATCATGTTCGGGGGGTGTTTGAGTGTCCAAGTCCTAATTTTTTTTTTCTTTAAATTGTACCTTTATTGTTGAAGGTATTACTCATGTCCCATTGTGTCCCCCATTGAAACCTTCTCGCCCGCCCCGGGTGCCCC